CCCCCCCCCCCCCCCCCCCCCGCTCGAACACCCGGACCGCGAGATCGTAACCTGGCTGAAGTTGGACGCTTAACCGACTGCGCCACACAGGCGCCCCAGGATTTCTCATAGTCTTAAAGATAGTGACACAAACTAAAGATCTTAAAAATGTATATGACACAGCCTTTCTCAAACCTTATTTAGCAGTAAGATCCTCTGTTTCACAGGACATCTATCTGATGAATGCTTCATGGAACACACTTCAGAAAATGCTAAGCCAACTAAAGCTGCTTTTTCTTTTAGAAATAATAAACTGTTGAAAATGTCTATTCAGCAAAATCCCATCTCATAAGTTCATTAGTATGTATATTCAGGCAATAATATCAAACACATGACCCCCCCTTATCAAAAAGCCTTATGAAAGAGTATTGATCTTGCTTATCCTTCTAGCATGAGTCTTCTACATGGTTTCCATTTTAAGTATGTAGATGTGTACATATGTGTATTTAAAGTAATGAATATTCATGAGAGTTTGTAGGAATAATGGACATGTCTAACTTTAGATTATTTTAAAATCTGGATTCCATATTATGAAGGTAAGTATTTTTCTCCTGACTCTTATTTATGTAAAAGTTGTTAAGCTAGTAAGTAGGATATGTACCTCAAATATGAAAATTGAGTTAAGAGTATTGATAAAACAGAGGTGACACAGGTTTTTAAAGACGGATATAGTGTCTTTAAGTCAGAGTACACCTAATCCTAAATATAAAACTTGCCTCTAGCCAGACACAAGTATTGGCAATATTTCAAACCGTTAGCAGCACAGTTCCAGTTTGACCAAAGCCACAGACATAGACCAAAACATTAAAAATACCAATGAATTCTAGGCAAAAGTAGTTATCTATAACCCTGTTCTTCTTTCTAAGTAATACTGTTGGTTAGCAATTCTCAAATCATGTAAAAATCCAAGTACTATATCACTGAAATCAATCTCATTGGATAGACACCAATTTAATCCAATTTCTAGCAGTATTGCTTTGAGAAGTAGAGAGTAAAAATAAATGCATCAACTAAAGAGATTATCAATCTCCTCTGGGCAGATATAAGTGCTCCTTCCTCTGCTCCAACTGCCCCTTGTATGCAAGAATAGCAAATACCACACCGAGTCTTATCTATATCTGTATTTCTACTATACCTTCCCTAAGAGTAAAGATTATGTCATATCTATGTGTTCACTAGTCCCTGGCCGTTAGCAGGGTCTCACGTTTGTGAATCAAAGAAGAAAGAACTATACTCTAGATTAAGAAAAATATTGGGTCTTCTAAAGCATAGCTACTATAGAGTTTAGAACAACTTTAAGCAATTCTTAAGGATAATTTAAAAGTAAAAAACATAAATATCACTCAAGGCTGTATTATTATTTCCTTTTCCTTTTGTTGTATATGGCTATCACTGGCCATGAACAGAAATATAGGATATCTGCCTTAATCTGTTCAGATTGCTACAACAAAAAACCCACAGACTGGTTTATAAACAACAGCAATTTATTTGTTACAGTTCTAGGGGCTAGAAGTCCAGGATCAGGGTGCCAGCATGATGGGTTGTGGTGAAGTTCTTCTTCTGGGCTGTAGACTACTGACTTTTCTCTGTGTCCTCACATGGTGGAAGGGGCTAGAGAGCTCTTTTACAAGGGCACTGATCTCATTCATGAGGGCACACCCTCTTGACCTAACCATTTTCCTGAGACTTGACCGAGTACCATCACCTTGGGGGTTAGGACCTCAAAATATGAATTTCGGGAGGACACAAACATTCAAACCATAGCAATATCTTATTCTGTAAGATGTCTGATATCTTCTTACAAAATAAGAAAAGACTATCAAAGGGATCAGGAGGGGAGGCAGCAGACTTTGGAGGCAGACTGCTTAGTGTTGAATCTTGATTCCAGCACTTATTAGCTTTGTGAACTTGGGCAAGTACTTAACATCTTCACTTCTTAACTTTAAAATGATAGTAATACTTCTACCTTACACAATACTAAAAAATTTAAAACCATAATGCAGTGCTACTATATATCGCTAGGATAACTAAAACAAAGATGGAATACATCCAGCATTAGCAAACATATGAGCCAGCTTCTACTCTCATACCTTGTTAGTGGAAGTATAAACTGGTACTACCAGTTTTGAAAATTCTTTGGCAGTTATCTACTAAAAATGAATTTATGCGAACCTCGGGAGAGGGAAATTGCCTTTTCAGGTGTGTATTCAACAGAGGAGTATACACGTGCTCACCAAAAGGAACATACTAGGATGTTCATAGCAGCCTTGTTTGTAACAGCCGCCAACCTGAAACTTCCCAAATACTCATCAACAGTAGCAGGGATAAATAAATGTGTGGTATGTTAATACAGTGGAACGACTATCATGCAAAACAAAATGGCCCACAAATACATAAAACAATATGGTTGAATCTCACAAATATAATATTGAACAAAAGAAGTCAAACATCAAAGGGTAGATACTATATGCTTCCATTCATATTAAGTTCAAGAATTGGCAAAATTAATCCATACTGCTAGAAATCAGAATAGTGGTTATTTTTGACAAAGAGGATAAAGACTGAAGGGGGCCTCAGTATATTGATCTGGGTGGTATTTTAATAGGTGTGCCCAAATCATAAAAATCCAACGAGCCATTCTCTTATAGTATATGTACTTTTCTTTCTTTCTTTTTTTAAAAAATTTTTAAGTAATCTCTACCCCCAACATGGGGCTTGAACTCACAACCCAGAGATCATGAGTCATATACTCTACCAACTGAGCCAGCCAAGCACCCCCTATGCTTTTCTATATGCATTGTACATTAATAAAGTTTTAAAAATGGTAATAATACATACTTTCTAGAGCTGCTAGGGTTAAAATGAGATAATACACATGCAGCACATAGTAATGTACTTGATGACTGTTTATTAGGTTTATAATTATTATTAACAATAAGAAATAGCCAAATTCCTTATTTTATAGAGAAAGAAGCAAGTCCAGAAACGTAAAGTGACTTGTTCAAGTCACACAGCTAGCCAGTGCAGAGGAAAGACTAGAACAATTCCACAAGATGGGCCTCCCATATTTTAAGTCAATTTTTACTTCCTGTTGATTATAGCTAAATACCAATCCGATCTTTTATGAAAAACACATTGTATTATGCACACAAAAAAATAAAAGCTAAGGAAATTTTCTGTTTGGTTAATATTTAAAAGATACTAATTTTATACCCTAAATTTATACTAGGTAGAATATCAGTATTCAATTAACTTGATGATACAAAAAATAAAAATAGATGGTAATGGCCAGTAAATGTAAATATGAGTGCTGCCAATGAGGATTTTGCCAAAAAAACTGACTTATATATGTCTAATGGCTTTTCAAAAATTACTTTAAAGACCTTCAAACAAAAATACAAAATCTAGCTGAATTCTGATCATTGCAACATACAGAGTTCTATTCAATAATTAACAATAATCAAGGAGAATCACAAAGTATGCTTAGTTTTCAGACGTAAAAGAGTTACTAGGTTAATTTGGAAATGAAAAGATGAGCCTTAAACTGACTCTCATTTATCATTAATTATATGCCATCTGAGAGCAACACTCACCAGGAGGCACTTGTGTAGAATCATCTATACCCAGCTGTCCTGTAGTTAAGCCCAATTCTACAAAGAATTCTTTCTGGAAAATAACACACATAGAATTAACATACATCTCAGTGGTTTGTCATACAGTAGAAACAAAAGTCACCTCATCTTAACATCAGCTTCAATAAAAAACCACAATGTAAAATGCATTTTTTGCTTCATTTAAATATCTAAAAAAGGATATTATTGCACTTTTCAGTAGTGATGCATTAGTTCAAAATTTTGCCTTTTTAAGTAATAGATGATTCAGTAAAGACATGATAATTATACTTGTGAGTAAAGAACTAATAACATTAAAATCATTCCTCAAACACAAACACACAATATGTGTAGAATTCATCAATTTTATTTCTAAATTCATCATCTAAAATTACCAATATGATTCTCTACCTGTGTTTTCTGTGGTACTGTACTTCATTCTGCTTTTAATCAACTAAACACTGCAAATATCCAAAACAACTTAAATTAATTTTTAAGTAAAATTAGACTATCAAGTGTTCTGCTAAACTAAAAATAAATCAGATTTACTCTCCAGACTTCCTCCACTTATCTAGTAATGTCTAGTGAAAGTAATCATGTTTGTCTGTTATTTTTTAAATAACACAACCCCATATTGTTCACGTTATGTTTACTCCCTAAGTAATTAAATATTTCTATTAACATTTGCCTCAGTGTTTTGTTACCATTCTAATTGCTAAAACCAAACTTCCTTCTTTAAAAAATGGAATTAGTTTTAATCCTTTATAATTATGTATTACTTAAATAGTGATTTATTTGTGTCCCTCATAAGACAGTTATCCAGCCTAACATTCACACTCGTTTCATTTTTGTACTGATTTTATGTAACTGATGTTATACCTCAATTTTTAACTAAACTTGGCTTTAATCTAGACAAGTTGTAAAGACAAACTAAACTTGTCTTTAATCTAGACTTCAATTTATGTGTCCCATTTTTAATGACTAAAGAGGCAAAAATCTAATGTTATTCATCCATTTTCAACCACTATCTTCTATTTATTGTAAATATTCTTCCTTCATTTAAATCATTAGAATTAATGATAAGGTATTTGGTTATTTAGTAGTCTTCATCTTTATTCTAGAGAAGGGACTTAGGTCCAAAAACATTTCGATATTACCGTCTGTAATCACAATGGAGAATTTTACTTTTGCTAAGACATGTTAAGTCACAGAAATAGAACTCTGAATATCCATTTTCTATTTCACTGCTCTGGACTACTTTTCACTCAACATCACCAGACTTGGGCCCTAATCTCAGATTTCTTTCAAAACTCCCCCTGGGTATTAGGCCTTCTGGAATGCCTTTCTTGATATTCCAGGCTGATATAAGCAACTCTCTATATACATGTATTACCTTTTATAAACTTCTAGCAAAGTACATAATCACATAATTTTGTTACTGTTCATCTCCCCACGAACCTGAAGCTCCGAGAATATAAGGACTGTCTCTTATACATATTTGCACGCCCAGTACTTGGCACAGTGCTCAGTGACATGTAGCAGAGGGGCTCAATAATGATACTGAATAAACCACACCGCTGAGCTCTATTCCAACCGGTTGCCTCTACGTGACTGAATTAGTAAATAGGAATGACTTGACAACTTCACTTCAAGTTGTTTTAAAAAAGAAATGTCGTTTTAACATGGATGAGACTACATAACATTGTGAACTAGGTTTGAAAGCCATCTATTATAGGATCGTATGACTCAGTGAGCACAACCAAGTTTAATACTCATATAGAGACCAAGGTCTCAAATAAACCAAACCTCGAGTCAGAATTGTTATCGCCAGGCCGCAGGACTCAGGGAGGGCAACAACAACTAGTGAGAGCAGGAAGACAAGGACTAACCATACTCTTAGTGGGTATAGCCACAATTCTTTTGAAAATTAGCCACAGGTTTTTGGTTGTTCAATAGCTAAGAATGAAGCCACATCAGTTCTGGGTCTCATCAGACAGAAGACACAATTAGTCCCACTTATGCACATGCTGACCCTTTCATACAGTATCCTTTTCCTGCTTCTTTACCTAGAAAACTCCTTCAAACTAGTCCAAATGGCAGTACCCCTATGGAGACTTCCCACCACTTTCAGGAAAAGAAGCTGCCGCTTCCTTTTCTGTACACTTTGTATAAACTGCTACTAAAAGGACTTCTAACACTTTTTAAAAATAACTTCTTAAAAATTGTTTAACAAAGTTGTAATATTAACGATTAATAGTTACATACTGCTTACTAAGTTCCAAGTACTGTCTATATGCTTTATATATTATTTTAGCTTCCTAGTGCTGCCATCAAAAAAAAAAGTATCACTAACTGGGTGGCTTTCAACAACAAAATGTCTTCTCACAGTTCTAGAGGCTAGAAGTCCAGAATCAAGGTGTTAACAGGGCCAAGCTCTCCCTGAAGACTCTAGGGGAGAATCTGTTCCAAGCCTTTCTCAGCTTCTGGTATTGCCGGCAATCTTTGGTGATCCTTGGCTTATAAATGCGTAACTCCAATCTCTGCCTCCACTGTCTTATGACACTCTCCTTGTATGTCTCTCCTCTGTGTCTCTTCTCTTCTTATAAAAACCTGGTCATATTGGCGTTAGGGCCCACCCTATTTTGATAAGACATCCTCTTAGCTTGACTGCATCCGCAATGGCCCTACTTTCAAATGAGGTCACATTCACAAGTACTGGAGGTTAGGACTTCAACACATCTTTTTGAGGCACACAATTCAACCCATAATTTTGATCTTAACTTACTGATCTGCACAATACTTCTATGAGATATTATTATCCCTATTTTACAAATAAGAAAACTAAGGCTCAAGGTCAAGAAAATTTATTCAAGGTCACATAGCCAGTAAGGGGCAGAGCAAGAACTTAAACCCCAATTAGGTAGCTTCAGAATATAATCAACTAACCATCATGCTATACTGCCTTCACATGCAGCAAATAGTTTAAGAAGTCAAGTCAGCTAAAAAATATATAACAACAATTCCTCCAATATATGCATGTGCGTGTCCATGCGCACGCGCGCGCGCACACACACACACACACACACACACACACACACAACTGGCCACTATCCAGAAACAACCACTTTCAGCTTTTTTTCTGGTATTTATCTCCAGATTTCAATTAACAAATATAGACTGCTATTCTTATCAATTTTAGGTATCTATTGATTTTTCTTGTAAGTATTTTAGCTCATGTACATTCGCTTTTCCTCCGTCCAACGTTCCAATATAATTATATATCAATTCTTGATTAAATCCATATTAAAAGTTTGCATTATGACTATTTAAATATTATTCAGTGCTGAGCCGTGTCGTATGCTATAAATCGGTTTCCTTTATTTTACTTTTTTTGGTACACGCAGCTGATAATGAAATCATTTTTTTCACTAATATAATTTTCTCTAATCATTTATCTCTTCCTATACCCTTCAAGAACTCTGAAAAGATCCTCCACCATATAATTTTGCAAACCTAACAAGTTTGTACCAACTTTTCTTGCAGGTGGTCATCCTGGAACCCTCCAGCCTCTTGCTCCAATCTAGAATCGCTCTGGTCCTGCTGCACACCCTTTGTCCTGAAACTGCTTGTCACTGTCATCCTGGAAATTCTTAGGTCGGAACCCTGTTTCTGGGTCTCCTACTTTGCTCTCTGTATCTATGAGCTTGTTTTGGAGACTTCTACCAACAGTTCCCCAAATAAGAGTAGAGATTTTAGATCACCTAAATATCTGAAAATGTCTACTCCAACTTCACATTTGATTAACTGTTGGTTATATATAGAATTCCTGGCTTGAAATCAGTTGGATTGTTAAAGAGATTATTTCAAAATCTTCTAACTGCCAGTTTTGCTGCCGGAAAGTCAGATGCCACTCTCATTTCTGACACTTTATATGTATTCTGTCTTCCTTCTATGACAAGTTTTTAGTTTTCTTTTCAGGAGGCTTGATACAGGTCTTCTTTCATTCATGACATTGGGTGGGCCTTTTCATACCGGAGATTCTTATCTTTCACGTCTTGGGGATTTTAATAATTCCATTACTTCGGTTTTCTCATTCTGGAACTCCCACTGGTCAGATTTTAGCCCTTCTGGATTGATTATCTAAGTGAAAAAACAAAATTTTCCCTCTTACTTTTCATCTCTTTGGTTTTTTTCCTTGTGTTCTGTCGTCTCATAGAGATTTCCTCAGCTTTGCTTTTGACTCTTCTGATTTTTTTTGCATACCATATTTTTGATTTGTAAAAGTTTTTTTTAATTTTTTTAAATGTTTATTTATTTATTTTTGAGAGAGAGACAGAGCACGAGCAAGGGAGGAGCAGAGAGAGAGGGACACACAGAATCCGAAACAGGCTCCAGGCTCCGAGCTGTCAGCACAGATCCTGACATGGGGCTCGAACTCACAAACCGTGAGATCATGACCTGAGCTGAAGCCAGACGCTCAACCTACTGAGCCACCCAGGCGCCCCTGTGAAAGTTCTTTCTTATTCTTGTTTGTTGTTTTAATGAAACTCTGTTCGTGTGTAATTCTTGTTTCATGAGTTGTATCTTCTCTCTGAATATTAATGGTTTAAATCTTCTACTGGGAAGAAATGGTTAACAGGCTAACCTCTTTGTCCATGTGAAGATGACCTTGGGTTTACCTTCTCCCAGCACTGTTGCCCTGAAAATGTGCTGGCGCTCTCTCTCTCTCTCTCTCTCTCTCTCTCACACACACACACACTCACACACACACACACACACACACACACACACACACACACACAC